AGTGAGTTTTGAAATTAGAAGAAAAATAAGAATTGAGTGCCTTATTCTGTCCACAAGGACTGTGATGTGAAAGCAAAGCCTCTGAGCCTCAGCAGAATAAGTCTTTATTCCCTCAACTCAGCAGAGCAGAAATAGAAACATTAAAAAGGAAAAATGCAAATGGCATTGTCAGGAATTCCAAAATAAATTCAGCTTGTCAATTTTTCCTAAAATATATTTTATTGGTTTCTCAAGGACTGCTGGCACCCGGGATGCACCACTGCTGCAGGTGCAAAATTCAGTCGGTAAATTGAATCAATTTTTAAATAAATCCATTCAAATTGTAGTTTCTGAATTATTGGATGTATTCACTATCATCACTTTGACATTGTTTCCTGAGGATCCAAACAGAAGAATTTTATTCCTATTCTAACTATATTCAGTACAGCCTGTGTCAAGATATGTTGAATATTTTCTGTTTCCTGCTCTGCAATCTGCTCTGTCTCTGGATTTTCCAGCTCCTCTCCTCAGGCAGCATCAGGGCTTTGCCATGGGCTCTCAGAAAACTGTGGGAAAACCCAGGACATTTTCTGCAAGGCTGAGAGGGGATTGTTCAGCCTGGAGAGGAGCAGCTCCAGGGAGAGCTCAGAGCCCCTTCCAGGGCCTAAAGGGGCTCCAGAAGAGCTGGAGAGGGATTGGGAACAAGGGATGGAGGGACAGGACACAGGGAATGGCTTCCACTGCCAGAGGGCAGGGATGGATGGAATAGTGGGAAGAAATTCTTCCCTGTGAGGTGAGCAGCCCTGGCACAGGTGCCCAGAGCAGCTGGGGCTGCCCCTGGATCCCTGGCAGTGCCCAAGGCCAGGTTGGACAGGGCTGGGAGCAGCCTGGGACAGTGGAAGGTGTCCCTGCCATGACAGGGGTGGAATTGGAGGATCTTCAAGGTCCCTTCCAGCCCAAACCATTCTGGATTCTGTGGATGCCCTCTGTCATGCAGGATGTAGCCAGAGTCAGAATTAAGGCTTTCACTGGCAGTAGGAATATCTGTGACCGGAGAAGCCTGCCAGCTTGGCAGAGCTGCCTGGATTTTGAGGGATAGCCTGGCAGAGTTTGGGAGCCCTGCAATCCATCAGCCTGTGCCACCATTTGGGCTGTGTGGGTTCTGAGGCAGCATCCAGAACTGAGGAGTTTTTGGAAAGCAGCAGGGATGTTTGAGCTTCTTCCCTTCTGCACCAACAGCTCCCAGACCTGGCAGTTCAGTTCAGAGCAGGGCTGGACTCCGGTGCTTGTCCTGGACAACACATGCACTGTAGCTTTGGGAAAGTGAAAATAACAATACCCAGAGGGGCTGAGCTGGCTCTGCCCTTTGCTTTCACTCTGTGTGTGACACCTGGGGCAGGTGAGAGCTCCTGGGAGGTGAGCTGTGATTATCCACGGAACTCCAGAACCTTCAGCTCACTCCAAGAACTCCTTCACCCCCCATACAATACCATTTACTATGAAAACAGACAGTAATAGCCAAAAGGCAATCCTGAAGGATCCCCAGCAAGGTTATTGCTGCTCTTGCTGAAATAACCAAGCTCTGCAGAAGTGTTTGAACTTGAGGGGATCTTTTGCTGTGGAATAAAGTTGCTCTGTGGACTTGATGGGCTTAAAACACATCAAAGCAGTGAAATTCTCAGGTGTATGAGTGACCTGTGCATTCCCCACCCCACTGCTTGCCTCCACAGTGATTCCCTGTGAATCCATGGGGGCTTTGGTGAGGGGGAGCAGGAGGAAGGCCCCGCTGAGCTACCCTGTTCCTTCCCTGCCCATAGGGAACAGAGGGGTGAGGGACACTCAGCTAAGCTCTGGCAGTTCCGTAGCCCTGCAGAGCATTTGGAGCAATGTGCACTCCTGTGTTGGCTGCTTGGGATGGGTGGAGGAGCTTTTATTGAAGGACACTGGATGGGATCTGAAGTTTCTTGGCTCTGGAGTGAGCAATGAAAGGTTATCATCCTGTGCCGAGCTTGTCCCTGTGACGTCTTTGTTGTGATATCAGTGTTGTGATATCAGTGTTGTGGTATCAGTGTTGTGACTGAATCGTGCCTGTGCCTGAGTCAGTGGCAGAGCCAGGATTGTGGGGAATATCTCCTTTTCCTTGCCCTTCCTCTGCCCTTCCCTTGGCAGCACCTGCTCCAGGACACGCTGTGTTCCTGGCGGTCAAACCGGAGAGAAGCAGGATTCTTAATCCTCTGTATCCAACAGAAACACTTCCCTGGCAGTTTAATTGTCACAACTGATTGTTCTCAGGGACATTTTTTTACACTTTGGGGTGGATTTGCACTTCAAAACCTTTCCAAACGTGTTGAGCTGACTGGCTGATGGATCCCCCTGGGCAAAGCCATCAGCTTTGTCCTCTGGAGATCCCCAGCATGGCACTGGAGTCCTCCAGCAGCAGTGCCAGAGGCAGCTGGCTGGTGGTTCCCAGTGAGTCAAAGCAACCATAAAGTCAAGTGTTGACTGGGATCAGTCAACCAAATATGTCTGGGGCAAGTCACCTAAACAATTCCAATAAATCCACCCCACTGCTTTCCTTACAACAAGCAAAAATGTATTTGCACTGGTGCCAAGCACATTTCCTTTTGTCCTAAATTCCCCCTGCACTTTGTTCCGACAAATATAAAAGTAATTCTTTATTTGCCTTTTAACTTTTTATTGACAATGTTGTAGGTATTCCCCTCCCATCTCCAGCACCACCAGCCCAGCAAAGGAATTCAGGCTTTCAGACTGAAGATGAAAACAGGCTTTAGTGAGCTGGAATTGCTGGGTTTTCTCACCAGGATGGCTTTAAAAAGGCAAGGCAGTTTGTTTGCTGTTCTTTTGCTGGTGGCTCAGTCCAGCAGAGAAGTCTCCCCCCTCCTCTTACACTTCTCAGGGGTTGCTCTGGTCCAGCTTTATGGAATCCTCTCCTGTGCTGTCGTAGAGACAGGAGTGACTTTCCTTCTTCTTCAGGAAGAGACTGAGCAGAGCTGCAGGAGGGACAGACTCTCATGAGGCCTCAGCTTTTCTTTCAGCTGCAGGAGCTCCTCAGAATGCCTCATACCCAGCATCTCTCAGGATCGTGATGCTCAGGGAAGAGGAATTCCCTGTTGTTTTAGTGGGAGCTGCTGGATACTGAAGAGTAATGAAAATCAGTCCTTAGGGTGGCAAAGGAAATTTGTTCTCTCAGACTAATGACTCAGTAACAGCAGGCTGATCATTCCCAAGGCAGGGCAGGCAGATGGTGGGACTGGAGAGGTTCTGAATGCAGCAAACCAAGAGCCTTCAGCCCCTGCTCCCTGAAACTCCAGTTCCTGTCTGTGCCCACCTTGCCCAAGGCCATGCTCATTCTTTCCTCCAGCCCCCCTGACTGGGAAGAAAAAGGGTTGCACTTTTCCAGAGGACAATGTCCACAGCTCCCAGTCCTTCCATGGTTAATTATTTTAATTAACTAATCTATTCAAAACATCCAGAGCCCATTGAGCCATCTGGACAGATTCAAGTCACATATTTGTATTCCTGGTGTGCTGATTAAATCTTTCCGTTTGCTCCAAGCCCTCAGTGGAGCCAAACAGGCTCCTCCAAAGCTGCTTGACACAAACAGCTCAGGGGGTTGTATTTGTGAGGAAAAGGTTGTCTTTAGCTTTGGGAGAGGTATGCTGGGAACCTTGGTGCTGGCACAGCCATGAATCCCACTGTGGATTGGGTTGGGAGGGATCTTAAAGCCCATCCAGAGCCACCCCCTGCCATGGACCTGCCACTATCCCAGGCTGCTCCAAGCCCTGTCCACCCTGGCTTTGGACACTTCCAGGGATGGAACAGCTGAAGCATTGCTCTGGCACCAGGCAGGAGCAAGCAGGAGATGAGCAGAGGGTCCAGGGCTGGGGTCTTTACAGAGTTCTGTGAAAAGCTCTTACCACCACCATCCCTTTCTGGGGGTGTCATCCCTGTGTCTGAGAAGCAGGAATCTGGGACTGAGGTTATGGGTATTCCCTGACGTAGAAATTCACTAATTACTAGCAAGGCTTGGGAAAATAAAAGGCCAAGGCAGCTCTCTGCCTGGGTCAGGAGGATTTAAACTGCTAAAAATTGGATTTACCAGAGAGGCTGAAGTATCTGGGGATGCTGTTGGTACATCAAGCACTTGGGATACCTGGAATGGGAAAAGAATTTAGGCTCTCCAGCCACATGGCCTTTAGCATCAAGAACAATCACGTGCAGAGGGGATTTCCTCTCCTCTTGTGCCCTGATTCCATCTCAGAAGGGGTTATCTTGTCGTGGAATTCATTTTACAATAAAACTGTCTGGGTTTTTATATATACTGTTGACCTTTATTTGGTATATAAACCCATTACTCCTGAGCTCGCAGTTTTATATGGGATGGATCAGTGCAACTTCCAGCTGAGAATCTCATCTTGGGAGTTGTGTGAGCTTTAATGACTCTGTCCTAATTTAAATAAGATAATCTTGGCTTTTACAAGGGAGCTGAGGCACCTGGAGGACACCTTTAGCAAGAGCAGGCAGCTGAACTAAGAGAACTCTCCTGCCTGGGTGTCTCTCCCCACGCAGAGCTCCTCCTTTACCCTCCTGGCATCCAGGATTTGGGGGTTGGAACTCGGCCAGGGCCAGGCTTTTAAACCTCTCAGAGGAAAAGTCATCCAGCACCAGAGTGTACCCCAAACCCTGCAGCCACTGCAGTCAATGAACACCTGCACCTACCCAGTGGTGATTCCACCACTCCTGGAAATGTTCAAAAAACATGTGAATGTGGCGCTTCAGGACATGGGTTAGTGGTGGCCTCGGCATGATGGACTTGATGACCATAAACATCTTTTCCAACCTTAACAATTCCATGATTCTGTGATTTTTTTCCAACCTCATTCTTTCCATCTGTCAGAGCCAAACCCAAGTCTCTCAATGGTGGTGGCTGTTGGGATGAAGGACTTGGCTGAGCTGAATTCCTGTGGGTTCCCCACTCACAGGATCCTTGTTCCCTGCAGGTAAACGGCCACCTGGACTACATGAAGCAGATGGACACAATCCTAAAAGCTGTGGGCATTAAAACCAAGGAATGCCAGCTGGAAGAGAAGAGCAGTGGCAGCCTTTTTTCCCCTCAAGCCAAGAAATCCCAGAGGGCAGCTGGCAGGGAGGCTTGGGGACAGGAAGACACCAGGAAAGAGAAGGGTGAGGTTGGGAGTGAGGCTCTCCCAGCCAGCTGTGCTCACCAACAGAATTCCTCCAGCTCTGCCCTGGGAGAACCCTCTCCTCCCTGCCCAGACTGCTCACACAGCACAGACAGCAAGGACCAGGCAGTGGGGAAGGGAGCAAACTAGGACAGAGCTGCTCAGCCAGCACAAAAACCGCTGTCAGCACATCCGTGGCACTGGGATTCCCAGAGGATGGAGCTGGCGGAGCCGCGGCTGCAGTTTCCAGCCCCTCCGCAGGAAAGTGCGGCACTGGCCGGCGCTGGGTCTCGGCCCACGGCACCTCCCGGAGGTGAGAGAGGGCCGATTCCTGCCTCAGTCTGCGCTGCTCCTCAGGAGCCCCAGGCAGATCCCATCCAAGTCCCTGCAGGAAGCGGCTGCCCCCCTCAGCACCGTGTCCCTCTGTCACTGGGGGAAGCAGGTGCCTCTGAGGGGATTGTAGGCATTTCACAGAAAGGGGTTCATTGCTAGGAAATTAAAACCATTTTTCCACTGGAGATGAGTTTGGTTTGAGGATCTCAGGTGAGTTCCAGGCTCTACCTGCCCCACTCCAGAGAGATCCTCATCTGCTCTCCAGCTCTGCTGACCAGGAGGGGAAAGGCTTGGGCTGCCAGGCTTCCTTCCCCCACCTGCTGCAGCTTTGCTGCCAGGACTTGGGCACTTTCCCATCTCCAAGATGGTTTTCCTGTGTCCAGGCTGGTGCTGGTGGGTGCTGGAGGCTCTATTCCTGCTAGAAACATGTTTGGGACCCTGGGTGGAAGCAGCAGGAAAACCCAGAGAGTTTTAGATGGTTTATGAAAATTCTCCAAGTTTATGAAAGTTCTCCAAGCCAGCAACCCACTGAGACTTTCCTTTTGTGTCCCACAGACATCTCCAGTCTTAAAAGCCCCATCCAGACCTATTTTTAATTGGCTTAAAAATAAACCAATGCTTGGCACAGGATAAACATGGATCTGTTTGATTTCTACTTCCTTCCATAAAAGTGAATTGGCTCCACTCTTTTCATCCCTAGTCTCAGAGCAGAGGGAAGGACCCAGCTCTACATCCCTTGCCAGCACAGCTCCAGAGCCTTGTGGGAATGATCCACAACTTCCATAAAAGCCCCTTTTCTGGCCAATTTTTCTGCTGAGCCCAGGCAGGTGCATTAAGCAGCAGTGTAACGTCACTCTGTGGTTTTATGCTTTGCCAGAAGGGAGGGTTCAAACTCTCCCAGCCCCATCTGAGGGGTCCTGTTGACTCATGAGAGGAAAAATACTGGAATTGCACCTTCCAATTTTGGTTCAAACAGGGTTCTCCCCCTCCTCCTCCCCACGGACCCAACAGCCATGTTAATCCCCCCTCCCATTCCCAGCTTCCTGCAAACCTTACCTGCAGATCATTCCTCACGGAGTCAGACACGGCTGGGTTTGGGGGTGACCCAGCAAAGCCCCGTGCTTTGGATGCAGTGCCTGGCAATTCCTCTCCCTAAATCCAGCATCCCAGGGGGCTCAGACCTGCCCAGCTCTGACCTGGAGTGATGGGAGGCATTGGCTGTGGGATCCCACAGGGATGGGGCTGTTCAGCCAGCTGCTGTTGGTGCCCTTGGCTGCAGGGTTAGGATGGGATTCCTCTGCTCATCCGAGGGTTTGTCCACAGCAAACACCTAATTAGACAGAACTGCCTGCATGAGACAGTAAGGAATTATTGCTTTTGAACATTTGGCTTGAGGAAGTGCCTCTCCCTCTCTCTCTGTCCATCTCCCAAGGCTGATTTAGTACCTAACAAACTTCCAGACTCTGCAGTACCTTTTGCTGCTCCTTTTTAACTTGGGTTGTAGTCCAAGCTTGTATTTATATAAAGCCATTGTGGGGAAATGCACATTTTGATCTGAGTGCTCAACACCAGCCCCAAGCTCCATCTGTGGCAAAATGCATTGAACAGTTTGAGGTTTGAGCCTGTGCTTGGCCCACGGCGTGTCCTGGTCACTCATCCCTGGCTCCCAAGGGATTTGTGGGAAAGCAATGCTGGGTTGGTCATACAAACTCCTGTTCAGTTCTGGAACATCCATGGGCAATGCAGAGAGAAAACTGAAAGTGGCCTGGCATGTGGCTGCTTCTTCCTGCATCCTGTATCCACAGGAGGCTCTGTGTCCATTTATGTATCAAGGAATTCCAGGAGAACAGTCTTGGAATTAGGCAGAAGGCTTGGAGTGAAGGGTCCAGGGAGGGCACAGCAGCCAACTACCAGCCCAAAGGCACTTGAGAAAGAATTTACTAAAAATAATTTGTTTTATTAATTTTTCGGATGCCCACTTTGTCACATTTACTCAGTGTTCACTTTGCTTATGGCTCTGGGGAGGGCGCTGGCATTGCCATTTAAAATACAATATTCCTTTAGATTCTTATTTAAAGGGGAAGAAAAAGTGTATTTTCTATCTGCATCATCGAGGACACGATGGCTTGTCGGAGGGAAGTGAGATGGTCCTGTGCCAGGAGTGGGAAGCTGTGGGATGGAGCCTGTGGGAGGAGCTGATCCCATTGCTACTGCGAGACACGCATGGAGCCACCGTGAGTCGCACCCCACACCCCCACTGAACATCCAAAAATCAGTGTTGGACATTCTGCTCCAAATTCAGCCCCCGCAGTGCAGCTCTGCGTGACAAGCCACGGCTGAGCTGGAGTGCACTGTGTGACAGCAACCTGAGACAGACACGGCTCCAGTGAGGAGATCCAGCCCCAGCTCCAGGAAGATGTGGTGTTCCGTGGGCTGAAGCAGCCCCAAACTTCAGTGTTCCTACTCAAGCAGCCCCAGACCTCAGTGTTCCTACTCAAGCAGCTCCAGACCTCAGTGTTCCTACTCAAGCAGCTCCAGACCTCTTGCCCTTAAGCCACAGGACATTTTTCCACCACTCCCCTCAGTGCACTTGGAGGAGATCTGCTGAGCTCCGTGTGTTCAAAACCAAGCCTTGGTTTGAGGTTAGAGACACAGTCTGGAATCGAGGTTCAGACTCACCAGAGATGGAAAGGCCACAGGAAGGGTTAGGGGATGGTGATGGTGAGCACAGAGGGGATGAAAGAGAGAGAGACAAAGCAGGTAAATTCAGCAGCAACACCCGGCTTTGCAGGGTTTGATCCTCCTGTGACAGCGCCCGGGGCCACCACCCCTTCCATGAGCTGCACCGTGTGCTGGAACAGGAACGTGGGAGATGGCTTGTGGCAAATCAGCTCCCAGAGGTTTGTGTTGGGCCCCTGGGATCCTTCCTAGCACGCAGAGCTCTGTGTGCAGCTCAGGCCACGGGGGTGCCGAGCTGCAGCTCCGTGTCCGGGGGCTCCGCGTCCCACAGGCCGAGGGCGCCGGGGCCCCGCGGGGCCGGCAGCGGCCTGGGCTCGCTCCCCGGCGCCCCGGAGCCGATGGAGTCGGTCTCAGGCTGCAGGGTGAGGACGTTCTTGAGGGACGTGGCAGCGCGGGGCCCGCTGTTGGAATTCCTCATGGACAGGGAGATGGCGCTGGGCCGGGGCTCCGCCGAGCGCCGGCAGCAGGGCAGGAATTTGCCCATGGCCCTCTTGAAGTCCCTCATGAAGAGCGGGTAGATGATGGGGTTCATGGTGCTGTTGCAGTAGCCCAGCCAGGTGAGCACATCGAAGAATCCGGCCGGGACACAGTCACAAACTGCCTGGGGGGGCACAGCAGGGATTAGCAGCCTCCCACCCAGAGGGGCTTCCCAGGCACACCAACATTCCCCTTTCAGAGGAAACCTCAAATCCCTGTTGAAGGGTGTTTTCCTGGCTGTTGCTCCCTGGGGAATTGCATCATTGCTCCCAGAGGTCCAGCAAGACCTTCCGGTGCCTTCAGTTGAACCCAGCTGGATTCCAAAGGGGAAACTTCTGGAAACCCAAAATAAAGCCCCCAAGGCTCTTACCTGAGCTACATTGGTGATGAAGAAGGGCAGCCAGGCCACGAAGAACATGCCCAGGAGGACGCCCAGGGTCAGGCTGGCCTTCAGAGCCTTCTTGCTGTGCTTGCTGGTGAACCTCCTGCTCTCGCTGCCGGCCAGGGGCTGGCTTGGGGCATGTGGGACCTGCAGCCAGAGACAGGGAGTGGTGGGCAACTCTGCCCAGCAGCAGCACTGGCCTCTGCCCAAGAAAAGTGGCATTTGGTGCTCCAGATCCTGCAAAAACCCTGCCCGTAATTCCCTTCTCCAAGGGGCAGGAGCTGGGAACACACCATGAGCCCTGAAGCACAAATTAGGAAGGGGAAGCAATAGAAACCCTCAACACTGAGAGTATGATTTTATTTACTGCAAACTAGTGTGTTTGTCATTTGGCTGCTCTTTAGAGAAAAACCCAGCTCAGTCCATGTGGGGATAAAGCCTGCCCTAAACAGGCAGCTCCAGCTGCTGATTACAGCAGCAAATTAATTATGGGTTTAAAAGGAAGACATGAAACATTTCAGCCTCCAAACACCATAACCCAGCCCTCCATCCCCTCCTGCAATCTAAAATTAAGTGATTTTCGTAGCCTACCCCTGTAATTAAATGATGCCCTGTTGCAACTCAACTTCCAGCCCAAAAAGAGAGCAAAAATCTCTAAAATTGAAGATTCATGAAGATGAAAAAGGTTAAAAGATGAATCTGAGGGCTCCCTGGCTGACACATTGTTCCTCAGCCAATTTGGGTCTTCAAGGAATCTTTTGGGCCTCAGCTGAATGACAGGGGGATGGATGCTGCTCTTGCATGGCACAGCAAAGCCCCTGAACATCCCCTGACTCTGTGGAGTCCAAAAACCTGGCATCCCGTGAGAAAATAATCACTTAATGATATTGTGTGTTTATTCTTTAATTCTCCTTTTCCTTTTGACCATCTGATGCAGCTTATCATGTGTGGGAGAGCTGGCCAGAGTCCTAGCTCTGCTCTTGGAGAGAACAAACTCAATCAAGGTATTTAAAGGCAATTAAGTTTGCCTTTTCCCTGTAGGATATGAGGTCAATAAAGCCTATTACAGGGAATTAAAGCTGTTAGATTTAGTGGCAATTACCTTCTCCTGGAGAAATACAAACAAGTGCAGCCACGTCTTTGTTATAAAACCCACACACTCCGGTTCCACCGGCAAGCACACGAGGAGGGGTTTGGCAGCTCCTGTTATAGAGCAGGTAACAAAAATAGAAGCTTCTGTTCAAAATAAGGTGCTCTCGGGAATCTGGCATTTGCCATTAGTTAAAATCCCTCTCCCCCGTATGTCTCACACCCACCACGGCCAAGATCTATGAGTGGAAAGTCAGATAACATTAAACCCCTCAGGGATGACGCCAGCCAAGAGAGAGGGGAAACTGCGTTTATTTTGCACTGCTGAGCATTTTTGCCTGAATCTTATTTATTTCTCTGCTTCTGCTCACGCTGTTTCTGTTCTCACGAGCAGCTTCAGAGCTGTCCATTGCTGGGACAAGGCATGGGACGCCTCAGAGGCTGTCAGGGAGGTGGATGCTGCCCAAAATCTCTCTCCCTGCGGTTGTCAAAGCTGGCTCCAAACCCCGAGGCCATCCAAGAGGCAGAAACAGCCCAGGCACCCAAACTGTGGGGTCTGCCAGAGCAACGCCCCTGCGGGCGCCTTACCTGTGGCGTGGCCTCGTCGGTGCTGGCCACGTTGGAGGCCAGGGAAGCCACCTGCACGGCCTGCTTGCGCGCTGCCAGCAGGATGCGGCAGTAGGTGAAGGAGATGGCGGCGGAGGGCAGGAAGAAGGTGAGGCAGGAGGCCACCAGGGCGTAGGGCAGGCTGACCAGCAGCCGGCACTGGTCCTCGTCCCCCCGGCCGGTGAC